TACAGCTGATCTTAAAACACATCTTACAGCTGATCTTAAAACACATCTTACAGTCTTAAATTCATTCATCCAACCGTCAAGAAATTAACATTTTTTTTATTAATATTTTTCCTCCCAACTGGTTAACGATTACGGTTGATCTTGGAATACAGAACTTTCTCTGATATAATAATTAAATGGGTCAAATTTGTCATTAATATCATCTATGTAGTGTAATATTTTGAATTTGTATAAGACACAATGATAACATTTTGATTATCTATAATATAAAACAGAGCGGCTTCTATAAATTCATCATACAGTCTCAAATTCATTCATCAAACGGTCAAGAAATTACCATTTTTTTCTTCATATTCCCCTCTCAACCAGTCAACAATTACAGCTAATCTTGAAACACATCTTTCAGTCTAAATTTCATTCAACCAACGGTCAAGAAATTAACATTTTTTTCATTAATATTTTTTCTCTCAACCGATCAACGATTACGGTTGATCTTGAAATACAAAATTTTCTCTGACATAATAATTAAATGAGTCAAATTTTTCATTAATATCATCTGTGTAGTGTAATATTTTAAATTTGTATAAGACACAATGATAACATTTTGATTAAAAAAAACTCATCAATTTAATAGTTAAAAAAAAACAAGGGTGCTACTTTAACACATTTAAATTAAATATAATTAATTTTAATTTTATTTATTTAATTAATTATTTCAAACTAACATGTCTTACACATATCTTGAATCAAAATTTTAAGACTTTTTTTTCATCTCTTAAGAAAACTCAGCGTTAATATATTTTTATAAATTAATAATTTTGTAATAACTTTACTAATTAAAAAAAAAAATTATAGATGATATTTGTAGATCTTTTTCTGATAAAAAATATTTTGACGATATTCTTTTTGATAAATTAAATTTTTTGTTTGTATTAGATTTGACTCGATTTTGATTACATGTATATAATTAATATTCGATTTTGATTACATANATTTATAAATGATATTTGTAGATCTTTTTCTGATAAAAAATATTTTGACGATATTCTTTTTGATAAATTAAATTTTTTGTTTGTATTAGATTTGACTCGATTTTGATTACATGTATATAATTAATATTCGATTTTGATTACATATATATAAATTAATATTTTTTTAAGTCAATTCTAACATATTTCGTGAATTTATCTATAATATAAAACATGACGACTTCAACAAGCTCATCCTATGGTCTCAAATAAACTCATCTAATGACTACCAACATCTATCTCAAAATCATTCATATTGAATTTTACCATCCTTTTTTCACTCTTCACTCTCTTTCCCTAGCAGTGGTGGAGGGAGGAGGGGCTAGGGCCACCTTGAAAAAAGATATTTTTTTAGTTTTATATATTTTTTTGGATTAATTGGGCCCACTGTAATGATTTATGAAAAATAAAATTAATTGGGTCAAACAAGTTAGGTACTAGAACAAAAAAATAAAAACAAAAAGTCCCTAACAAATCTCTTAAAATGAGCAAACTAAAATTGATTCCTCAGAGTATTTGTATGATTTATTGAAGCCTCATTTGATTCAAAAATTATGGATTATATAGCCAAAAATGAGTAAAATATGAAATTTATAAGATTAAAAATTATAGAATATTACTTTTATTTGTGTCAAATAAATTATATAATTGATCTTTGATGTATAGATGTTATGTTATTAATTTTTTTCAAATAGACCCCTTTTATGTTTAATAAATTTTTAAGTATCAAATCCGATATAAAAAATATAAATATATCACATTATTTTTATCTATTATACTTAAAGTGTGTCAACCTTAGATCATATTTTTTGCTCTGCCACTACTCTCAAGGATCTTCACTCCTCACTTCTCCAAATTA